AGCGTAGTTCATGAGTGTCTGGGTAAAGGTCTTGTCATATTTGACGTCCTCGGGATACCTCTTGGCATATGATGAGTAGGCCTTGAGAATGTCGCTAACAGAGGCATCCTGAGACTTGTAGGTAGTTTCGGTTGGAGCTTTCTGGATAAGTTCTTTCCGCAGCTCTTCGGCATGAGCTTTGAAGATGTCGGGGTTTCGCTGAGAAATGTCGTTAAGCACCTGATGCGCCACGGCAGCGAAGCCGTTCTTATCGCTCTTTGAATAGTCCATGATTGTGGCCAAATGGCTTCGGTTGAACATGAGACAGCTTGACCGATATAACAAAGGAATCAACGTGTCCAGAGAACTAGCACCAGAGCTTGCCGAAATTTTCGTAATCAGCTCAGCGATTGCGCGTCTCACGGTCTTAAAATCGCTTTCGGACTCAATCGCGTACTTGACGAGCTGGTAGCTACGCCGTTCGTTGAGCTTTACAAACTTTTGAAGATCGCTACGAACCTTTAGCGGATCGGGAAAGTAGGCGCCAAACCATTGCATGGTTTTGGCGAGGCCAGCTTTGACTTTATCTTCGTTAGCTTCAATGATGCCGCCGTTGTATGCCTCGCACTGCTGGATGAAGATCTCAACGCCCTTGGCAAACTGCGGTTGGCGCGCCTGCATGGCAAAGAATGCCTTTTGAGCTGGAGTATCGAGAGACTTGAGCATCAGCAAGATTCTCTCGGCTCGTATCTTATCCTGGTCGGCCTGGCCAGCCGCGGCTTTCCCTTGTGAGGATGCAGCTGCGGTTTTAGCCCCCTTGCCCTTTATGAGGGGATACTTCAAGGGTATCAGGTATTCGAACATGACGCGGTCGAGAAGCACATTGAGATCAGGATCGTTGGCGTAAAAGGCATTGATAATGCGCGATGGAACACCCGAGAGGCAGGCAGCAACTGCTTCCTGTCCGTCTGCAATCTCCCCGGAACCGACTGCCCAGAGTTTGCCAAGTAGAATCATGGCCTCGACGCGCACAGCCGGCTTTCTGTCTCGGCATCGGTCTGCAAGACTTGCAAAGACTGAGCCCTCTTTCTCTACGCCGCCAATGATGCCCAGTTTTAGGACAATGTCTCGGAATTCGAAGAGCTCAATTGCCTTGACAGCCGCCAAGCGCACTTTTTCTTCGCTATCGTTTAGTTTGTCGACCAGGGCTCTTACTAGTTCACTTTCCTCTTGGCTGCTAAGTCCAATTCCTCCGGCAGAAGTAGAAAGAATGTAGCCAACGGCGGTTACCCAGGCGGTGCGTATCGTTCCCGTCTTGTCGTTTTTCCGGCCTACAAAGTTGCGATAAGTCGCGTGATGCGTCTGAGCGAATGATTGAGGAGAGTATGGTTTGGTGAGAACATTGGCCTCGGCTACAATTGTTGGAGTGTCATCCATCAGTCTGATCGGAGGATATGCGGCCGGGTCGAGTACGGGGGGCTGCGGCGGGCCTGCAGCTCCAATGCCGGATATCATGTCACCAAATGTCTCTGTAGCGATGAGACGCAGGTGAACGTTGTCCGCTGACAGCTCAGCATCTAGCTGAGGAATAACGTTTTGGAGGACGGCAGGTGCTGCTCGCCACAACTCTCGGATAAGGAGATGAGCCTGGCGAAGACTCTTCAGATCAGCCTCGGAAGGCCCTGCGTGGCTATCTTCCTCATCTGAGTCGTCTCCATGGCGGTTGCCATTCCCTGCAGTTGCAAATCCAGAGGCATTGAGAATCACATCGCTGAAATACTGGCTCACGTAACGTGCCATCTTGTCTGCGCATCCATTACAAATGGCTTTGGCCATGACATAGGCCGCTGGTTCCATCTTGTGGAGGAGCGTCGATTGTTTACCGTTTTGCTCCTTGCTTCGGCCACCGCCAGGGGGTGCTGCTCGCAAGAACTGGCTGATGATGGCATCAATAACGCTGGCTGGGACACTGCCGGGGGACTCGTCAATCAGCTGGATCAGCATTTCTGTTAGGTGAATTTCAACATCCTTTGCAACTTGCTCTTCGGCTGGTGCCTTGGCGTTTGCAGACACTCCATCAAAAGTCGAATTGAACAGGCGCAACAAGAGGTCGTCGGCTCCATGAATTTCCGAGATGAGCAGAATACTCTTGACATCAGTTAGTGACATGAGAACGTATTTATGCTGGCTATTATATGGGTTCGTAGGGTCTTGGAGGCTCGGTAGAATATCCTTTACGAATAGGCCGAACATCATCTACGCAGTATGAGATTAGCAAGAAAGGCCAAAGACGGTTCCGAGGCTTGGCGAGCCTACCTTGAGCTGATCATCCGTAAACGGGGCATCTGGGACGAACAGGCGCAGAATATCAACCAAACAACAGGCGGTGTATGCCTTGACGCCTCTGTCCTTGTGCTGCAGCAGGTTGCGATGCGCCAGCTGGGCGGAGACATCCTTGAGCGAGCTCAGATCGACCTCGCCTTGTTCAAAGTCGGCCAGCTCTTTTGACAACTTCTCCAGGCGAGTCAGAAGAGTGCCGCTGGGGATTGGCTTTGCAGGCCGCCACGACAGCTCCTCGTTGAATTTGAGACTCTGATGCTCTCCCTCTCCCTCATAATCGCCTTCAGCAGCTCGCGGTTCCGCCTCGGGCTCTGCTTCTGACTCGGCTTCACCTTCACCAGATTCCGGGTTCGAGTCGTGGAGCTCCGGCGCGGGAGACTCCTCCTCCACTGGCGCCGGCGCCGACCGTCTCCTTGCGGATTGGCGAGAGCGCATGTTTGCGCGGGTACAAAGATGGCGACGTGCTGTTGTCGAAAGGCGGCGAACAAGCTGTCCCGAGGTCCGCTTAATTGGCTGGTCGCGAAGTCGTTCGTCTGCTGCGGCGCGCGGGTCACAGCATCGCACAGTCAGACGTCGTTTGTTGACAGAGAGAGGAGCAGCTGCCTAGCTCGAGGACGCGACGACGGGTCTCGGCAATTTTTCTCTCTCTTGGGTATTGCTTGTTTTTTTCCTCGCTCCGGCGTTGGGCGTAAGAGAATGATGCACAAGGATAACGGTTTGCGGGAGGGCACATGAACCAGAAGTTTAGAGGGGAGCTCCAGCGCTGAGTTACGCGACGCGATGGGAGATGTTCCGGAGTGGCCCCGCGCTTATTGCTAGCCAGGCACTGCTGCTGCTAAGAATTGCCACTGCGAGACGGTAAGCCCGAAGGCGAACGACAGACACCAGGCATTGATTGTTTACTCTGGTAGCAGACACTATATTAGCCTGTCAATGCACGCCCAAACGCTCGTTGCACCATAATTTCTTCGTCGTCGCTAGGCCATTATTCGGGCAATGCATTCGGGCAATGCATTCGGGCTATCTTTGTTGTCACCAAATGATATCGGCTCTACTCTAGTCTTTGACTGCTGTCGACATTATTTTTCTGTTTTCTTGTAGCACCGAAATTGGTCGGGAATATCGAGAATCAATGTGAAAGTGTCATGATGCTGAGAGCCCCCCTATTTTTTCACCGCCGCTCCCACCGTGAATAACTTGTTGTCAATATTACCTGATGTGGCATCACGAGTCCTGTGCGACATGAGTCCACGTTGTACCAATTTAGATCTTGTTCTACGTCCGTCATTTAGCATGGAATGTGTTCATATACCTGGTCAACGCACATAGTACCCGACAGCTTGAGCAAACATGCACGCTGGTGAGCGATGCTGGCGATGCCCAAATGGAGTTGGCATCTTACTACACCTCTACGTTTTCCAATTGCCAACGTCAACTTTGTCTTTGAGATGGATGATAATATAAAGTATACGCACAGCGTCGAGCAACTTGAGGCATCGAACTTGTAGTCTATGGGTCATATTCGTTAGCAGAATGCGGTAGTCCGTCTTGACATGCAACTTTCAAATCGAAGCTGTATACGCATCTGATCCCGCACCGCAAGCAAGCCTAGACGGATCACCAACCGCAACTGTTTCACAGCTCGGGTATCTACTCAGAGCCAGAGTTCCATGACTGTACTCGCGAGTTCTGGCAGTGATTGTTGTGCAAAGAGCCCTGGGTGTCACCACCAACTACCACATTCTGGAGGCACAGTTCCATACAATGTCGACTGGCATAATGATGGATAGCAGCAGTCGCAATATTTACAATGGCTGTGCTATAATGCTATTCATGGATCTGAGGGATTGTCTTCTAGTTTCTATTATTGAACGTATATGATCATTTACATAGGGCAGTCATTGTTTCCTCACTGCCTCCTCCAATACATCAGCAGAGAAAGCTTGCTCTTATCACTCCAAACCTCACATCTCTCTCACCACAACTCGTACAGGAGACTGCCCATTTCGATTTTTCCAGCTGACGATCTAACCGGAAGAAAACCACCACACTTGTAGGCGTTGAAAAAGCAAACAGCTGCAAGTGCCAAGTCGTCAGTTTGCCGGTCCGGCAAGGCACCATCTCAACATCCATTCACCAACCGTGCCTATATAAACAAACGAATTAATTGTGACGCGTGCCTCTTTTTTTTTCTGCGTGATTCAGAAGATTGAGCCAATAGAAAAAAAGAGCAAGAAGGAAAAAAGCTCGCACATTTTCATCAGCTCTCTTTTTCCTTTGCCCCCTCCCACCTTTGTTCCCTCACCTGCATTCAACACACTCGTTCATTATCAACTGCAACAGCATTTCGACTCTCTCTCTCTCTCTCTCGTTTAGGTTCAAACGTCTCTCTTCTCTTCATCTTCTGAAGCTTTCTTAAAACCAGGTATGAAACTTGTCCTGCTTTCTCCCTTCTGTTGTGTCATCGTCACGCCTGTATCACCTCGAGCTGCTCTTCCCGAACAAACTCTTCCCGTAACTCCCATCGTCAGCCCGTTGCAGAGCAGATTTCTCGCTAATATCGTAATTCTTCTAGTCTTATCACTCTACTTAAGCACTCTGAAAGTCCATTCCAAGTATGCCACCTCTCCTCCCCGTCTCTACCCAAGTAAAAAAGATTAACCTCTTCCACAGTGGCGAGCATGAAAGACTCCGAGTCTGGTGCCGTGCCTCAGCGCAAAATGGGCACGCTCCGAAACGCCAAGAAGCATCTCCTCGAGGCCAGATTCCTCATGGGCGCGGCCGTTGGGGTCTCCCTGCTCACTGCAATTCTGGTGATTAGCCTCCTGGCAGCTCACTGCGGTATGATGTCCCCTCTGCTGATACAGAAGATGGCATGATTTCTGACCTAATACAGCTGGCCTTGAGAAGCTACTTGCAGCTCAGAGGGGATTTGCTCTTGCGAGCCAGCAGGCTCTCCCAATGGCTAATCACAAGCTTGGTCGCCGTGGTGTTGACTGCGATGAAACCGACTTGATCATGTCTAACTCTGCTGATGAGGTTGTTACACTGGTTCTTGACAATGGTTCTATCGCTGCCGCAACTCAAACTCTTGAAGCCAAAGCCGTGGTTTCTGTCACCAGCATCCCGATCTCGTAAGTACAATGTCCATCTTCAATGGAAATCCTTCTGCTCACGCCTTGACACAGTACCCAAACGGCTACGTCGACCATCTACAGCATCATCACCCCATCCCGGCCAGCTATCGTGACCAAGACCAAGACCATGACGACTTCAGTCCTCCCCCCTCCAGAGACATCCGTGTGCTCAGCCTTTAGCACTACGGTTACTGTCACCGTGACCGTCGTGCCTAGCCCCTGGGCCTCCAGCTCTGTCCTAGGCGACGTTACCGTGACTGCTGGCGCATCAACCATGACCAATGTCAACACGGACGTCTCTTATACCAGTGAACTTCCGGATGCCACCATCTCAGGAAATCCATCTACTGTCACTAATGTTGACGTTTCCGTCACTGGCTTGCCAGACGTGACCATCTCTGGAAACCCATCCACAATAACCAACGTCCTCACCGATGTATCTCTCACTAGTGGTCTTCCAGATGCAACTGTCTCTGGCAATCCGTCGACTATCACCGCAATCCAGACCAGCTTCTCTCTCAATCCAGAACCCGTCACTTCGTTCGTCACGGTGGTCATCTCTGACCTCTGGGGTCCTTCAGCTAGTTCTTCCGTCCCCGATCTGGTGACAGTCACCGCCATATCTACTATCAGGACAACTGTCACCACCATCAACGCCGCTCCATCTCCCATCATTATCACCATCACAAGTGCTTACTCCGTGCCTGCGATGAGCACCTCGACGGCTTCCTCTGACAGCTCTAAAGCCGGCGCTCAGACGTTCCGCCCGAGCGCCTTCACCCAGACCATCACTGCTACCAATGGCGAGCCTGCCACGACCACTACTGCTGTCCTCATACCATCAGTATTCTCTGGCACCAATGGCACCGCGAGTGGGTATCCATCCGGTACCGCAACGAGTATGGTAATGCCCTCCGTTCCAGTTATTGTCTCTGGCAGCAGCAAGGGCATGGAGCCGCTTAGCAATGCTTTCTGCCTCATCATGGCGGCTGCGGCCGTCATGTCTATGCTCTAAGAGTATCCTTTTAGTTGGGTTCTCTTTCGCTGGACAGATAATTTACTGTATGTAAGGAACTAGTTCGGACCTGATTTACTTTTCAATTTTCTTTCTTTTCGGATTGAGGGCAATTACGGGGAATCGGATGAACTAGGGTCGGTGGACTGGCCATCATATAAGGGACGATGATGTTTAATATTTCAAAACAATTTTATGCAGTTGGGAATCACAGGTTATAATATAATCGCAAGGTTTCTGGTCTTCAGGACATTTAGGGTCTAGTAAGAAAAATAATTCAAAATCCAGTAAACTATAGGATATCTTGAACTTGAAGCCATCGAAGAATAAACGCCTTACCCATCATTAGAAGATTGATGGAAGAGAGAAAGTTCTTGTCCAAACGCCTCCATCTTGTCCCAAGAGGCTGCCCCTAGGACTACAAATACCAGCATACCCAATTAGTAATAACAACGACTCAGGTATATATGCCCATCGTTCCAAAACTAGAGTTTCTTCCCTTTCGCCTTCGTTCAATTCAGATAAGGTCGGAGCAAAATGGTGATTCCGTCCCCCAAAACAAAAAATAAGAGAACGCCTCCTGCTTGAAACCACTGAAATGAGCAATGTTCCGCTATCGTTGCCCACGCGCATTTTCTCGTGCTTGTCTGGCCTTCCAGCTGTCTCTGATCCGACCAGCAGCGCCGTAGAGGTCATTCACTGAAACGCGGTCTTTGATACTCTCCAGGACGCTTGAAACTGTACTCGTGTGGTTTGCCTCGTGTTTATCATCTCTGAAGCGAAGAATGCGCCATCTCCTCTGGTCATCCTGGTTACACTCCACGATGCGGTCGTTCAATGGGTCGTTTAAGCTTTTCAGCGTCTCCCACTCCTCTTCCGTAATGTAAAGATCATCAAAACGAGCATATTTTTCGGGTCCATCGCCTTTGAAAACGAATAGCTCTGCTTTTGGTACGCTATCATAATCAGTAAAGGGCTCTGTAATACCTTCTTTGCGCTCCCATTCATCTGGCTCAACAAGCGGGAACGTAAGTCTCATCCGTAGGTCAATGGTATTTTCTTCGGGTGGTTTCCACTTGAGAATGTGAGGGTCGGTGCCGTGCTTGTAGGGTGTATTCCGGCATGTGAAAATAAGACCATCATTTCCATGCTTTAGTTCTGGAAGAATCTGTTTAAACATCATCTCGATGCCGTAACCGAGTTGAAACGGCTTCATTTCCATGTAGAAGGGCTGATATTGTAGCTCGTCCGGGTAATCCTTGAACATTTTTTTATACGGCGTATACAGCCGCTCTCTGAAGTAAGCCAGCCGCTTATCAAGCGATCGATCCATGAGTTTATTGCCATCCATCACAAGACAGTCGAAAACAAGGAATCGAGGTTCCGTTCCTCCATCGGGTCGCTTGTCCCACACCAGTTCGCCGTCAACAAGCGTTGCTGTGTGGAAAGCACTGACGTCCGTCTCGCGTGGGAAATGCAGGCTCTTGTTGGTGATGTACCAATAGTCATTCTTGCGATCAATCAAGTAGTGCGCCTCTCCCTGGTTCTCGTCCTCGGTCAAGTAGAGAAGGTAGCGAATTCCGTCAGATTTCTCGCATACATAGTAGCTGGTAAATGGTTAGCCATGATAGCCCAGGAGAACTATATGTTCGTCGATGGCTGCCTTACTCTTGTTTCGTCAATTCGTCCAGATGTTGTCTGGCAAAGCTGACGGGCTGCGCGCCCGGAAAACTAGTCTGTGGTCTGCCCAGCAGCTCTGCCACCTCTCGCCGCATGGTATGCAGGAGCTGGCCCTCCGCTTTGATGCCGGGTTCATCAATCGACCCAATGGGGCCGTCTGTTTTGTTGGGCTCCATTGTGCGTCGTGCTGGCCTTGGCCAAGTCGGCGCGTCGCAGCTCGGCGGCGCTGCAGGATCGAGATCGCCGAGAGAAGCACAGAGCGAGCTGAATCCTAGTCTTCAACAGAACGATGTCTGTAGACGATTTGGTGCTACCTAATTGAGCAGCAAGCGCGCTCGAGGCAAGACACCTCGTGAGCGTGGAGTGTAGCGTAGTAGGATTAACTCGAAGGCCGAAAGAGCTGCGATCAAGGCTACCAGCTGTTGCCTTGCGCTTATCGATAAGGCGCAACCGCTGTAGCAAATATAAGGCAAATCAGCTCGGGAATCTTTAAAAGAACCACGCAGTGAACCATTTGCTAGCCGTCATATTCATATACAAAGCATGCTGGGAGAAAAAAGAGAGAGAGAAAAAAAGGGAAAGAAAATGCCATATCTCATTATTTTCTCTTATAGTACACCTTATTACTTTCTGTAAAACTAGGTAAGTTTGCAAACGTACTAGGTAAACAGACCTCAGTCAAAGTAAGAAGAAAGTATAAATTTACCAACACCATCGCTAGGCAAAGTTGAACCCCGAGTACACAGAGATACAAAGATACCACTCCAAGGCAAATCGACAGAGATTGAATGAAGATTAATTGCCGTCTAATTAGAGAGTATCGCATGATGATATCACCTATTTGGTATTCAGATAAGAAGCAGATTGCTCCTGAAACGGCGCCAAGAGCAGCTTGATAAAAATTAGGTATAACGAGACGACCATTCTAGATGGGAAATCCATCTTCTTGGCCTTTCCTCTTGTATTAGAAATTCATCATCATGCGAATTTGTTCCAGTGATAGCTCGCTAATTGTCGTCTATTTTGTCGACCTCTGCCCTAGCCTCTTCCCACTGCTGCTTGCTCTTGCGTGCCCACTCGACTTGACTTCTCGCGTATGCCAACTGCCGAGACTATTAGCAAATAAAGCTTGAAGAAAATTGGGTGGTGACTTTTCGGCTGCTGTAGACTTACCATGTATCGCCTCAAATCATCTTCCTTGTCTTTCTGGAACCGCTTCAAGTCGCTAAGCACACTGGCGCTGGCATCCTTGACATCTCTTTCAGAAGCTACTTGCGCCTGTTCTAGCTGCCCTATTGACTCACGCGTCTTTCCGATAGTATCTCGGCGGGTTCGCTCAGGGTCCACGTCCACGACCCCCTGCACTGCGTGGCGGATTGGACCAAATATCTTGTTTGTTATAGAGTTTGTACTAGGCATCTTTCGGTGTGTTATGGTCGACGCACTTCTCTCAGGGACGCCTTGGTTTACAGACGGTGGATTCGACGGGAAATCGCCATGAGTCGGTGGGAAGTCGGAGTCTATGGATTCAGTATCCTCTTGGCTTCCATCGCGTCGATGCTGTGTCGGCGGCTCTCTAAGACTCGCCGACCGCTTAGGAGGGGGAGATATTTGCTGGCTGCTCGAGAGGTACTGCTCAATGCGCCTCGCTTCTGCTTCACTGCGCTCAAGCTGGTCCAACAGGGCTCTCTTCTTGTTGAGCTCCTCAGTTGTCATATCTTGCTGCACACGCTTGAGGACTCTATACCGCAAGACGCTTCTGACGACACCTGCAAATTGGGCATTCTCTCTCATTGGTTCTGCAAAACTGGCGCCCAAAGTGCCAGAAAGTTCCTCAGTCGCAATATACGACGCATCAGCGGCTTGACCTATTCGTTCAATGGCTGGTCCTAGGGACGGGGCTTGCTCTGAGAGAGCAAAGGCGTTGTATCTTGATCCCAGTTCGCAAAGATCTGCCGCTAAAGATGATAGATGACTGAGCGTCCGGCGATTGACCTTCTCCATAGGGCCTGTCAAAAGCTGTTCCAGCTCCTTGATCGACGCCTCATAAGAGATGAAATACGGGTCAAGCTCCTGCTCGCTGAGATTGGATGCATCTGCTGGGAAGCGTTCGATCGCATGCGCTGCGCCTTGGATGACAGAAGCATTCAAGTCAGCGCCCGTACCTGCTGAAGTCTTCAGCTTCGATGAGCTCGAAGGAACCGGAAGAAAGCTGTGAGCAAGTGAGGGGTTGGCAGTGTCCAATGGCGGTGCTTTCAGGATGACCTTGGGTATAGAAGCAACCGGATGAGCGTGCAAAACCTCGCTCTAGCAGTATATTAGCAAAATCAAAAACATCAAAAGAGGAGAAAAAAGCTCATTACCCAGCTTGAGTTTGGATCAAGAAATCTCCACCAAACTCCGTCCTCTCTTACGGCGTCCATTCGGCGACAGCGGTTCAAAAAGACCATTAACATGCGCTTTCGTAAGTCAATAATTTGCTGGTCTTGTTTCGCACTTGTGGGATTCGCAGCGTAGTCGGCCATAGTATGCTTTTCCGGAATAGGAGGAATAACGAGAGTCGGGTGAAGACGGGTCAAAGCATCTCTGAGCGAGGCGAACTCAGAGTAACGACGACGGACCTCTAAATCCTGATTCTGGAAGTCAGAAGACAAGAATACAGAAGGACAACTGAGTGCGACTCACTCCTGTTTTAATGGTGTACACGATAAATCTCCCTCCGCTTTCTACGCTTTTACCCGCATCCGTAATCATAATTGGCATGTTCGGATTCTCATAGAGGATTTGCTCGATACGGCTGTTGAATCCGCCTGGTCTCCGTCGCGGAGGGGTGTCCTCCCTCAGGACATCATCATCGTCAACTTGGCCAATGCCATGGCTGAATGGCTGACGTGGTGACTGGCCAACGTCGCTCCCGGTTGAAGGGGTATGAGAAGCCTCAAAAACGCCATCTAAAGTGTCCAACTGCCGTTAGTTTTGACATGATCCTCATCAAGATATACCAGCGACCCATTCTGGAGCAAGAGACTCAGAGGCGCTCCGGGGGACGAGGTGCAATGGACTTACAGTCTCTTGATGTCGGCGAGCTCGGAATTGCGGACGACGAGGTCTGTGAATCCCGGCGATCGAAGCTGGTTCCGTAAGGGTTGTTGTCTTCGTCGTTCCACATGATGGCAGCTCTTTTGTACGGCTCTATCTATGTGCGGATATGGCTCTGGAGGCGAAGCGCGGCTGGTGGTCGTGGCTTTGGTGTCTCGAGATCGCCTGAATGTGCTCTAGCTGTGACTAGACGACGAAGAGCTCTGGGGCAACTGCGGCGGGGCGGAGTCGTTTAAGCCGCTCGGACGTGGGGTCAAGATCAGGGTATGCAAGTCGTTGTGAGCGCTGTCGCCATTATCCAGCAAACGCAAGGACGAGATGCTGCGGCCAGGTGAGAGAAATTCGAGACTCTAGACGACGATGGTAGGCAGAAGCGGAGAGCGAGTTGGCGGCTTGCGAAGCTTCGGGCGGTTCTGGCGCAGGGCGAAACAAGAACCTGCTAACGGTCTGATGACGATACAGCGCGCGCACGGACCACCTGCATTTACGTGCATGTACCTTGGCCTGCCAAAAACACTGCGCCAGGAATGGCTGGGACGCAGGCTCGCCGCAGGTACTTGGACTTTAACGGGCAAAAGTCAACAACCCTTTTAGGTACAGGTGGTTACCACCTAAAACCCAGGGTCAATGACGCTTTTACTCTCTTTAGGCTGTGCCTGTACATCATCTTGCAGGCTTCAAATCGGTCCGCGTTCGTTTCTTACATACTTAGGTAGGTAGGTAACTGCCGCAATATTTGCGTTTTCTCTTTTACTTTGTATTTTTAGTATAACTCATCGTCTTGACCAGTGCCTCCAAGCTCATAAACCCCTCGATGTAATACACTGGACCAAGCTATTCTTCTCTATACATTCCATTATTATATCCCATTATACATGTCCGAGATCCAGCGTCCATACCTACTACGCCGAAGAAATTATTGCAGTTGTAAAATTCCCCGTTATTGGTAGCCCTGTCGGCCGTATGGATCAGTTATCTGCGTACATCAGGACATGGCATTTCGCCCATCTCACTATATACATGTAACCAGCATCACAAATGCTCATCGGTACCGAGGATTCACTTCAAAATCGTCGCTGTGGACCGTGGCAGCATCACTCCGAATCGACTCCTTGGAATCATTGGAAGCGTCAAGATTGCATAGCATCGACGAAACATCATCCTGCTCTGTGGCTGTTGTTTCAAAAGTGCATTTATTGATATGACCATCGAATCGCGGTGTGGCGTTTTCAAGGCGCCTATTAATAGCTGAATGATCGATCCTGATGATTGCTCTCTGCTCAGGCTCTGGGGAAAGGGAAGGCGAACTCGCAATGGTAGATGCCGCTCCAGCAGGTAGATTAAAAGCCCTATAGAAGCGTTGCCACCATGTAGGATGACCCGATGGACATTCATCTGAAGCTCGGCTTGACTCTTTGCGAGGGTCTTCTGGTTTTGGCAGCTCAGGAGCTGTTACACCGGGATATGTAGGATACAGTGTTCCCTGTGGCAGACCTGTTGAAGCCATCGTGTGGATTTGAGCAGTGTGAGCATTCATGACGCCAAATGACTGCACTGGCAACACCCAGGGCACTGGCAAGAAATAAACAGGGAAGTGTGGAGGCATTCCGTTCTCGGAGACGAAGTTTTGCGGCACTGAATGTGGTGTTGACGTTGCTGCGCTCTTCCGTGTGAATTGGTAACGCCGTTCTTTTTGAACTCCAGACGCAAGATTCGTTTTGGTTCTAATGCGGAAGATTCTCTCCCGGCCCGCACAATACATCCAGACAATTGACAGGATGATGAATGCAACAACAAGGGAGAATATGATGCCAAACCGTGTAGCTGAGTTGAGACAGTGCCACCCAAGGCAAGTGTCGGATCGACGAAGATGGTGGGTTTCTTCTTGGACATCGAAGCTTGACATGGCGATAACCAAACCCGACGAACAGAATTGAGGCGATCAAAGACAGATTTGATAACGTTCAGTCGTATCGTGGATATCGCTAACAGCGTGTGTTTCTGATCATGGGTAATCCACGAGGAGGCTGAGTACGAGTGTTAAAATAAACAATCAAATATCCCTGTTGGCGTAAGAAAAGAAGAGTATGTTCAACAAGATAGATGCCGAGGCGATGGTGAGCGCCTCCATCTGTCTGACAGTTGGCAGAGCGCATAAGACACTCTTCTAGAACAAGCTGCCAGTGACTCAGTGCGCAACTGACATGGACACCATTTTCAAGCATCTCCCTCAACATCCATAATAATAGTGTAAAAGGGTTTAGAAAAAGACCATTATTTCAAGTAATAATTTGCAAACATTGTATTTGCAAGCTACTATACGCGTTTATTGTAGAAAGGGAGATCCCAGCTAGGTAAGCCTGCGGGGGGCTTGCATTTTTACTACATCGCTAACAAGGCTTTGAGTGATATACAGAGTTTCACAGAAATCTTAGAAACACTACTTAGGTATTGTAAAGTACTAGTATCTCCTATAATTATATCAACTATTTGCGATTGGAGTTTGGAGCATATGTTGGGAGAGAGCAGCCTTGGTCTGGCTCAGGGGCATTAGAACTATTCTGCATTATCGCTCCAGGAAGAAGAAAAAGCCAGAGAAAATGGATTATCAGAAGTATTAAAATAAGAATGATGCCAAATGAAAATGTATATCACAAGAGTTCTGGCTCAAAGGGGCCATGGCATTGCTGTTCTCTGTCAGTATCAAGTGAGGCTCCTTGGATCCGCAGCCGCTAAGGCAGTCGCGGAGCGCACGGGCCACCTGCACTTCGCTGAGCTACCATCATGGAATTTCTGGCTCGTCTCTTCGAGTGTTCCCAAGACTTGCGATATCAACCCTCTCGGCAGCCAATTCTCAGCTCACGGCAACAATTTCATTCGCGGTTGGCTGGCGGCATTTGCCATGATCTAGCAAAAAACTGATGAACACCATTGGCTGTCACCTTCGAGGCGCTACATTGGCTTGACGCGTTCTTGCGATTTCGCCCGACTTTACGAACCCCCCGATTTCCTCACAGCCATTGAGCCAGATCCTCAGGCATGGCGGCTCTTCAGAACGGCGCCGCGAACGGTGCGGCAAATGGAGATGCCACAAAAGCCCCTAAGAGTGCCCGATTTTCCGACATTCCCTCTGCCATCGATATCCCCGTCCAGGGCGACCAAGAAGACGAAGCGGTCGAAATCGATCTCGAAGTCCTTGTTGACGATCCGACAGAATTGTGTACCCTGTTCGAAAACGAGCATGCGGCCAAAACTTACTGGATGACGGTCGCGCTAGCGTATGCCAAGCAGCGGAAAATTGACCATGCTATCGAAATGTTGATTCGAGGCGGCAACGCCATACAGAGCGGCGGCAACCCACGCGATAAGGTCAGCATGATATGCTGCCTCTGTTGGATGTATTTGTGGAAGAGTCGAGAGGCCCCTCGTGTCGCGCCTGACGGTGCCAATGCGTCGGAAGCCAAAACAAAAGAGTACTATCTGCAGCTTGCAACATCATCCCTGAACGATGCCGCACGTCTTAACCCGTCCTTCTCGCCCATCTTTCTTGCCCGTGGAGTTTTGCTATTGCTCAGGGCTTCACTACAAGGACCATCGAAGACCGCGGGAAGCCTAGGGACAGAAAAGGGCGAGCTCCTGAAGAACGCCGCCAAGGCCTTTGATGATGCACTACGAGTCTCTCAAGGCAAAAACGTGCTGGCTTTAATGGGCAAAGCTCGCACTCTGTTCTCCATGCACAAGTATCCCGAAGCTCTGGCTGCATATCAAGATGTGCTGCAGAAAAGACCCGATCTAGTTGACCCCGACCCTCGCATTGGAATAGGCTGCTGCTTCTGGCAGCTTGGATTCAAAGACGATGCCAAGGTAGCGTGGGAGAGATGTTTGGAAATCAACCCCGATTCCAAAGTTCCCAAGAGTCTTCTTGGCCTGTACTATCTTGATGCTAGCGGTCATGTTCCGGTTAACAGCCCAGAATTTCCCCAGCTTTACAAGAGGGCCATGATCGACTACATTCAGGACTCATTTAAAATTGATAAAGACGTTCCCATCACCTGCTCCACCTTTGCGAGCTACTTCTTGTCTCGGAAAATGTGGGATAAAGCTGACAAGCTGGCTCACAAAGCCATTCAATATACCGATGTCAACGCCGTTGCGAGTGACGGATGGTATCTGCTAGCGAGAAAGGCTCACTACAACGGCGATTTAGAGCGTGCCAGTGACTACTATCGTCGCGCTGACGATGCTCGTGGAGGTACTGAGACCGGCTATCTTCCTGCCAAATTTGGTGTTGCGCAGCTGTCTGTTATGAAGAACGATCTTGGAGAGGCGAAGCTGAGGCTAGAGAAGATTATCCAGCAATCTAAGAACCATGAGGCCATGATTCTTTTGGGAACCATCTATGCCGAGGAAATCTTTACCAACCAGAGCAGCGATATCAAGGAGGATAGATCTGCGGAGATGAAGAAGGCAATTGCTCTGCTAGAGGGGGTCAGAAATTCTTGGAAAGATTCCAAGAAGGCCCTGTCTCCGGACCCTTCTGTCCTCCTAAACCTGGCCCGGCTATATGAAACAGATAGCCCTGATAAAGCACTTCAGTGTTTACAACAAGTTGAGCAGCTTGAGATCGAACAGATTCCAGAATCGGAGCACCCAACAGACGTTCCCGCTTCCGAACTTCAGGCAGCTCTTCGCAAGTTCCTCTCGCCTCAGCTTCTGAACAACATTGGCTGCTTCCATTCTCAGGCGGAGAAACATGATCTTGCCAGTGAACTATTTGAGGCTGCGCTAAGTGCTTGCATGAGAGCTGGCGAGAAGGACCCCACGATGGACACCGACGCCTTGGTGACTACCATTAGCTTCAACCTCGGCCGAAGCTATGAGGCCCGAGGACTGACAGACAAGGCGGTGGAAGTATATGAGGGCCTCCTAAACCGTCACGACGATTATACCGACGCCCGCACACGGCTTGCATACATCAAACTAAGAAAAAATCCCAACAAGGAGGGTCCTGATGCTGTGGCAAAGCTCTACCAAGAGAACACCGCCGACTTGGAGGTTCGAGCACTCTATGGATGGTATCTTGGAAAAGTCCACTCCAGAAAGCGCCCAGCAAACATTCAAGAAGACCACGAGTTCCGCCACTACAAGCACACGCTACAAAACTACGATAAGCATGATAGGTATGCCCTGGTCGGAATGGGCAATCTGTACCTCCTGCAGGCAAGAGAAATGCGTCGTGAGACAGAAGCAGAGAAGCAGAAGCGAAGCGCGATTTATTGCAAGGCTGTTGAATTCTTTGAGAAAGCTTTGTCACTAGACCCGAAGAACGCGTATGCTGCTCAAGGCATCGCCATCGCTCTAGTGGAAGACAGGAAAGATCTCAAGACGGCTCTCACCGTTTTCAACAAAGTTCGAGATACAGTCAAAGATTCTCATCTCTATGTGAACTTGGGCCACATTTATGCTGAACTGAAGCAGTTCACCAAGGCCATCGAACACTATGAGATGGCTCTGGCGAAAGACGGCAAATCAAATGATCCAGTCATTCTCTCATGCCTTGGCCGGACGTGGTTGAACAGAGGCAGGACAGATCGGGATGTAGACTCATACAACAAGGCCCTCGAGTGTGCTAAAAAGGTAAGCGTTAATATGGTTGATATGCCAGGTACAATGTCGTTTACTAACCATGTTTTGCAGGCGCTTGAGGTGGCTCCAGATCAAATACACTACAAGTTCAATGTTGCCTTTGTTCAAATTCAGCTTGTGACGACGATCCAAACCCTGCCAGAAAGCAGACGGACAGCTGAGCAGCTGGAAGAGGCGTCAGAGGGTCTCGAAGCCGCGATTGAATCGCTGGATGCGATCGCTGCCCATCCCCAAACGCCTTATCCCAAGCATGACGTTGAGCAGCGTGCTAACATGGCTCGCAATACACTTCGCAAACAGCTTGAGAGAGCTCTAGGAAAGCAGAAGGAGTGGGAGGAGAAGAATAAGGAGAAGATTGTGGCTGCTAGAGAACAACGAGAAGCCGAGATCAAGAAGCGCGAAGAAGAGCGACAGGCCGTTCTAGATAAGGAACGAGAACGACAGGAGAAGATTCGGAAAGAACGTGAGGCCATTGCCGCCCGCGATAGGGCACAAGCAGAGCAACGAGCTGAGGAGGAGCGCACGCGTCAGGAGGCAGAGATGACTACTGATGAAGAAACGGGAGAAAAGGTCAAAAGAAAGCGCAAGCCAGCACCACGCACCGCCGGCGCCGGCGAGGGCAAGCCCAAGAGGTCATCGAAGAAGAAGAAGGCCGATGCGGATGACGACGAAGGCTCTGAAGAAGAGAACCACACCAAGAAGAGAAGACGTCTCACCAAGAGGGAGTCTTCCAAATTCAAGTCTGCCGAGATTGTTGTCGACTCCGATGAAGAAGCCAACGACGAAGACGACGATGTTTTGGACCGTGCCGACAGAAACTTGGAGAGAGAGGAGACACCTCTCTCCGAGGCCGACGAAGATGCTGGCCGGATGGACGTGGATGAAAAGGAAGGCCGGGATGGAAGAAACGACGAGGATGACGAGGATGAAGACGTTGGTGCACCTCGTTCCCAAGCCAAGAGGACGCGTAGAGGCCGAGCAATCGCAGAGAGTGACGAAGAGGACGAAGATGCGGAGCCTAGCGGCGCTGCAGCGGCAGATGAGGAGGAAGAATAATAATTGCTAGTATCTCTTTTTAATCATGCATGTTTGGTTTCTGTTTAAGGGAACAGGATTTCATAGTCCAGAGCTTGCACAATGTATATTAGCTTCCTCTTTAATAATAGGGGCAACACTGAAAAAAATTAAGGAAAAGCAGCGAATTTGTTTTGGGTGGAGATGGGAGGTTTTGTTAAAGAGACATTAGCATAATTGACATTATAGATTATTCTATCCAAGTTATCCTATATCCGGTGTTTTGTTTTTCTCTACCCTCACTGGCCAATCCGTGATATTGCTCCCGGGATATCACTCTCAAGTTAATGAACCTATTACAACTTTTGAGAGCAAAGCAGTCTATGAAGCCACTCTCCTATTTTGGTTTAAAAGAAAAAAAAAAGTCGCCACACCGCCTTGGGGCAAAAAATGCATTTGCTGCCAACTGATATACCGGCGCCGCACATGGATATCCCTTTTTCTCTATTCTTAGAAAGCGAAAACCTGGTCCTCGAGCTTACTGACGGGACGAGCCTTGGAGAAGCCGAGACCCTCGGTAGCCTTCTTCAGGCCGTTAATCATAGGAGGGGGACCACAGAGGAGAATCTTGACATCGCTGGCGGGCTTGGGGAGGTATTGCTAGTACACGGGTTAGCATCAGCTGACATGTTGTTAAACGAGGAAGAAGACGTACAGTAATCATATCGGCAGTGACAAAGCCAACGCCACCGGTCCAGCCTTCCGGAGGCTTGTCCAGCACGTAGTGAACGCGGAAGCCGCTGTCCTCCTTGGCCAGGGCGTCGAGGTCCTCCTTGAGAAGAATATCCTGGGCAGTGACGTTGGCAAAGATCAGATCCACCTCGGTCTTGTCGCCGGTAGCACGTCCACGAATGATGGCGCGAATGACCTGGAGCATAGGAGTGATGCCAGTGCCTCCGGCAATCATACCAAAGTGGCGGACCATGTTGGGGGTGTAGACGAAAGCGCCCTTGGGGCCACGAATGCGAATTGTCTGGCCGACCAGGAGAGAGGCCATGTGCTTGGAGATGTTGCCCTGAGGATAAGACTTGATCAAGAGGTCGACGAATCCAGGCTGGTGGTCGCCGGAAATAGGGGTATACGATCGAACGATTTCCTTGACGGTTCCATCAGGCTGAGGAAGGTGAGCGCCAATGGAGATGTGCTGGCCGATGGGAAGACCAAGGATGTGCTGTTGCGAGGGGAGCTTGAATCGGTAGCTAGAGGTTTCTATTGTTAAATCTGGCGCAGCTTTACAGTTTGTGGGGGAGAAAAACTGGCTGTGCACTTACATGGCCACATTGTGAGAAATGACAGTCTTCTCCTGAAGAGGGAACTCCTGGAAGACGTCTGGCTTCAGCACCTTCTTGATCTCTGCAGAAAGGGGCAATTAGTCTCGATACAGCGTGTAAAGCGCAAAGGCCACTCACGGAAGCTGAAGTAATTCCAAGTGCCGAGCACAACGGCCAGCAGAGCAGCATACGGCGTCCAGTCAATCTTGACAATCATGGTGCCGACAACGAGGAGACCGGCCGGGATGTAGATGTAGTCTCTGAACCGACGCTCAAACGCGTCCTGATCAATCTTTGCGGCCATGGCGACGATGTCGAGAAGAGCAGCGAGATCTTTCCTTCCAGAGCAAGTCGCGACGCAGGTTCTCGTTGTTGTTCCGATATTTATCGAACCTACTCGGAGGTGGGACAAAGCGGGACAAGTTAGCCACAGAGGGGCGCCGCAAGCTCGGGCTTCGCGGGCTCAAAAGGCTAGTCTGGTCGGCAATTGAAGACGGCCTACAGCAGCGAGTGCCTTGACAGGAGACGCGACGATGAGGCTGGCGCCGAATTGGAGAAGAAAAATGCTCCGACGCTTCTCGCGAGTTTTGTCGCCGTCTTCCCTGGACGCTGAAAAGACCACGCTGGATTAGGAAATTTTGGCGGTGACGATTGCAGGGCGAGGGTTCTGCCGTTGAGCTGGGCCCACCCTCAACGAAAAGGCGGCCAGGCAGTGGCTATTGGCCACATAGGCGTCGGTAGAACGAATGATCCGGAGCGCTCATTCGCGCAGCCATCGTTATCGTTCTAGTAGCAGGTTACTCTGCTGCACTTGTGGAAGCTCCATACCAAGACTGGTTTAACAGACCTTCTCCCGGCAGAGCGATCGCAGATGGTGCTTCTGGATGGATGAGGAGATGCGGATGACGAGCTGCGACGGCAGAAGGTCGCTGATGGATACGTCATGCCACCACCAGGCACAGCGTGACAGAGCATTGCGCGCTTACAAAAAAATCACAAAGGCTCTATCCGTCGCTGTGCTTGCACTAAGGCTCGTATATTGCTGCTGCATAAGTTGTGTTGCTATACGAAGCGCAGACTCTCCCTAATCAGGGAGGTTATGCGCCGCGAAGAGGCACCCATTCGGCAGCTGACGTCCGGCCATACGAGATGCACGGCGCAACAGACAGCACCGACATGGAATTGAACACTACAGTGCTGTGCTAGAGAGATCCCGTAATCGTATTCGACGGCCCTAATGACCAGAAAAAGCCTGCCATCCTCCGGCCCATGCGCCGCTCCCAGCTGGAGATGGGCTCAACGATTTCCAGATGGTTGAAATCTGCGGCTGGAGTTGCAGATTGCCCTCGCAGCCAGCCAGGAGCATGGAAGATTGACACTTGACTGGATTAACCACATATTGCTGACCTGGCGCTGGGCGCTAGGAATTTCAGAAATTGGAGGGACGGCGGTGATCACTGCGTGGACAGGCAAACGTCGAAGCCCCTGGCCCAGCTTGCCACCCCCCTGGTCGACGAGGCGCTACGGCTCCGCCGTGGATGCATACAATACGCATGCTGTCTGCAATGAGATAGGGTAGGTGTAACAGTGATGAAAGAGCTCCCAGAGAGATAGACAGCTCCTGCATGAGTGTAGGCTAGATCGGGCACTGATCAGAGGTGGGAGGGCGATCAATAGAGAACCACTGCAAGTATGTCATCAGAGGCGAGAAAAATCAAGAGAGAGAGATTGCGATTGAGATGCCTCTCCGGACAAGCAGGACGTGCCACCACATGCAAAACGGCGACTGCTGCTTCGAGCAAGGCCTCGAGTCGCAATGCAGCGAAACGTGATGCTAAAATGGCATGGCATGACGAAGCTCAGGCGGAATACGGGGTCCTGCAGTTCTAGCCGCAGCGCGAATCTAAATCCGCACGCCGCGCCATCTCACGATTGGTCGGGGCGACAGGGGATGCACCTCTATTGCCAACGACGAGCGCTGCAGAGGCCGGACTTGAATTGACTTTGCGCGCCGAGATCGAGATGTCCACAGCAATGACGCTGCATGGTGAATCCCCAAAACATGCCTGTTGCGGACTGACGGATGCCCCGTCCAGCATCCCGGATGGCCCCAAATACGCGGTTTCAAGCTCAGAGGGGCCTTTTTGTTCCTCTTTTCCAGGCCCCGTGAGGCGGATGCTTGGCTGTCCTTTTCCTTTTTGAATTGGGTCTCGTCCCGTCTCGTCTCATCCTGAACGCCGTGCCCAAACCCGCCAGTGAATGCGAGGAGCTCGACAAATATCACACGTTCCGTCTCCCTGTGCGGCACACCTTCGTATTCTCTTCTCCCTCTTCTCTGTTTTTTTTTTTTTCCTTTTACCATTTTCCTCTTTTAGCTTTTGTACGGCCCTTCTGCCTTCTTTCATCTGGTTGTTGTTCTTCTGCATACCGTATTTTTCTTCCTTCTCTTCTCTCTTCCTCCTTAAACAGCGGGTTAGACCGCTGGACGGGACAGTGGCCACGCCAGTAAGCAGAGCGATTCGCTTCGCCATCTGCTCGCACCGGGCCGGACGCGGCGAACGACGACAATCAAATCATTCAGCTTCTGACGACTGACTCTTCTGCATCTGCATATAAACCTGCTTGCCGATTATTCGTCTGCGATTTTCCCATTGCGCGCGCTACGTGGCGAGCTGCCGGATTTGAGCTGGCAGGTGAAGCGCTGCGGAAAAAAAAATAAACGCTTGCGGATTTCGGTACTCATGTCGATCTCACCTACCCAGATGCTCCCGTAACTTAAAGGCCTGTCAACCCCGAGTATCCCCTGCACCAGCTGCTTTTCCGGCGCGCAACGTCCTCGAACCTCATTGCATCTACTCGACAACACTCGAACATAGTCGCCAACGCCCGGTACCTCTTCCTTTGAGAAAACCACCCCCGACGACATCTCCCCCCCTTGTGCCCCAGGCAGGCTTTCCCTCCGCCATAGCCCAGAGATATTACGACTCGCGTCTCCATAGCGCATTCCCACCGCTTTGTTCGTGCCTTGTCCCTTTGAAGAGGTGAAGTGCATCCCGCGCTGTCCTCTGAAAGACACTGAGCGCTGCTTTGTGACACAAGCCCGCTTTGAATTTGGGTCCATTCACAAAAAAGAGCCTTTCTCGGCTTTCATCTGCTTGAACGCGTTCCTGGAGTGACAAAAGAATCCAAAAAGGCCCATGTCATTTGTCTTACCCGTTCACCCATTCGTTTTGCCAGCTACCATCACAAGCGGGCTGAGACATTGGTCCACTGTTGGACAGTTGCAGCACACCGTTATCTAGGCCATCGATTCCGCCAAGGCCCACGGCACAGTATTCCAGATCTTCATAAATATCAGCGTCTGATCCCATCTGCCCCATTGTTTTCTCCGCGGTCGGCATGAGTGGCTGAGACCTCGTGATAATCAGCTCATCAGCTTTCTGTTGAGGACATCAGTCCTGCCGGCATAATGAAGTCTACAAAAAACACTGAGAAGTGGAAATGGAGGTCGTCCACTGCCAGCACGGCGGGATCTCTATCTCCATACCAATATGCCACTGAATCCTCGGAGCCTGTTGTTGAAAGCAAAAAATCTCGTTCGCTGTCCAAGGCATTTCGTTCCATGAGTAGCTCCTCCCTGGACTCGATGTCTAGTGGTCCATCTAGGTCTGGATCTTCGGCACGAAAGCTGCACAAGACGCCATCGGGCTCAGGATCGATGATTGAAAGATTTCAGAGGAGGGTTTCCAGAGATTCTTCTATCAGCACGGCGCCTTCGGAAATTCCAGGTGGTCCCTTGGAACCCAGCTATACGGCGATGGAAATGATTCGATATGGGTGGCTCAAGACAGATTCTTCTCTACTCAAAGCTCGCTCTGAATATCTCGTCCTGACAGATCATTCGTTGGTGAAATTTGGAAGTGCGGAAGCCGCTAGGAGTGTCTTCCCGCAGTTAACTCAGACTGGAAGCCAAGGGAAAAGCGCCCAGTCCCATTATCTGCATTCTTTGACCAGCAAGTCTACATTTGCGGAGATTCGATACGATATTCCCCTTCGTTCCATCATTGCAGTCTACACTGAAGAAACCTCAAGCTCTCGATGTGGTATCGAGGTGTGGTGGTCCTCGAGATCGCCCAAGATTGCGTCTTGCAAGGCGCATTTCCATTTTGCTCTACCAAAGGAAAGAGACGACTGGTTGGCGGACATTCAGCAGGCATACAAGGCCAGGATGAGGAAAAACCCGATCCATGTGACTGTTCCAGAGAATGTCAAGATTCGTATCAATCATGTTATGCAGCCCGCAGAGACATCCGACGATAGCACCCCCCAGAGCTTGATCTTTCCAGTGGCCAAGCGTTTTGCGCCAGCAGCTCAGAAAGGGGCAGCCGCAGATGAGTCTCAAGACATCATAGATGCTGCGACCTACTATCTTGCAATTGGCCCCTACGTGTGTTATCTGATTGAGATCCTCAAGGCGGACCATTCGACTCTGCCGGGCGACTTGCTCATGAAAACTACAGATTGGGGGACGGTGTCCTTGACTCGTTTCCAAGCATCAGTAGCATCTCATGAGCAAAGATTCTTGATGAGTTTTCGGTAAGTAGCCTTGTCACAACTTCATTTCATCCTCTTGACTTGATTCGTCTAACGAAACGATTGTGCGTTTACAGCAAACCATTCGAACGTGAATCTCGCCTTGAACTAGCCAGCACGTATTATCGCCGGATCATCGAAGCTTTGACAAAGATTGATCGTGTTTTGAAACCCATGTGGCCCCAGAACCTCCAACACGCTATTTTCGACATCAAGGGTCTTCCATCACCTCTCCAGCTAACATCGGGCAATGATTTGGGTGGCCTTGAGATGAGCCTCCAGGCATATTGCGTCGCGTTTAATGTGCAAATCCCCGCCTGGACGATTGAGTGGCTGACCCCGTCAGAGCCAACCTTCCGACTGCTCGCCTCTGACGAGTGGGAATACACGCCCCTTCAACTACTTGCGGTTTTCCGGGCCCTGAGATACAATAGCTTCTTCAAAGCCCTCTCTTTTCGTGATGTGTCACTTACATCGCTTGCTAACAAAAGTGACTATTCACAATATGGAGACACTGTGGTATACACATCTTTGAGCGGTATTTACAAACTCCTAATCTTAATCATCCGCCGGCAAATGTACTGATGGCACACTATCTAGGCGTGAAACTACCAGAAGATTACTACCAACTTCTCAGTCAGGCCACAGTATTGGAACAAGAGATTCATGCCCTGTTGTTTTCATCTGAATCCATACGACACATTGATTTTACGAATACTGCCGGCTTGAAACGCCCGCTAAGACCACAGACAGGCAGGGGATCGGTCGACCAAACTACCATGCGCAAAATGAGCTCCGAGATCATTCGACCTTTGTCGATGCTGCTTAAAACGCAGTTGAGCCACTGTCACAGCATTTCCATGTCTGGCAATCCCATCGGCTCAAGCGACGTAGCTGAACTAGGTATGTGACTCCAAACGAGAAGGAGAAATGAGATATATTTCTTCTTTTGGCTGCACAGCCGCTAATTTTTTTTTTTTTCTTTTTGGCTCAGCCAATGTCTTTGGATTGGATGATGTGCATCTAAGAAAAGTCGACTTATCAAACTGTGGGCTTGGTGACATTGATCTCAACAAACTTTGGTCTGGTCTTGCAGGCCAAGCTGAGACTATCGAATACATCGATACATCAGGCAACAGCGGGACTGTGGGCTTTGATACCCTCACTTATACGCTTCGGCAACTCCGCAACATCAAGAAGCTCAACATATCGGGCAATACTAGGCTCGTCTCAGAAGAACCCCTCTTCGCTGAGGGTGCGCTACAAAGCTGGGCTCTCCAGGAACTGGATCTTTCCGGTATTGTGGTAAGTGGACCGGAATTAACGTGTTTTCCATTTCTCATGGCTAATCGACACCTGTAGCTCAACGATACTACCGTGGTTTCTCTTGCGAGATATGTGGAGTCGCCATTGTCACAAGAGCTACAAGTGTTGCGCCTCAACAATTGCGGCCTCACTGGAAGCCAAGTTGCCCAGCTGTTTTTCAGCATGGGCAAGGCTCGGCATATGACGGTTCATATTAATGCAAACCGCCTAGATGATGGTATTGGAAGTCTCTGCGATGCACTTTCTTCCGGCTACGGGCCTTGGAGTCTGTTCATGCAGATGATTGAATTCAGCTACGAGGACAGCTTTGTCAAGCTAATGCGGGCATTGACTATCAACAAGACGATCGAGTGCCTGAGCTTGGCTGGCTGCGCTACACCGGATGCTGTCAGCAGCGTGGCCTGCCAAGCAGCCTCAGACCTCTTCGCCAAGAACGACACCATCCGCTTCTTGGATATATCTGGATACGACTCTAAGCTTGATGAAGGCCGACTGGGCAGAGAATTCTCGAGATCATTAAGCGGCATGAAGTTCAATAAGCGAATTGAGCACCTTCGAGTCAGAAGCCAGATGCTGAACATCAACATCGGAGACCTCGCAGAAGCCATTTCGAGGAATCAAACGCTGCACACTCTGGATTGTGAGGGCAACGATTTCAATCTCTCCAATTTCTGGCATCTGGTAAAGCGTATTGAGGGCAATACGACGATCCGGCACTTCTCCGCCTTCTCAGAAGCTGAACTTTCTAGGACAATACAGAAATCTGCCGAAGTCGACGTGCCCGTCGTTGCTCCACGCCGCTCCTCGGGCATATTCAACAAGCTGAAGCATGAAAAACCTCCCGTCATTGTAGAGAAGCCACTTGTTCAACGACTAAGTGACGAGTGGGATGCCGCGATCAGCGCGCTCAATCGCGTTATCGAGAGAAATCAAAAGATCTACCATGACGAGCAGAGCCCTGCGAAGATGGCCGACGAGGGAATTGAAAATTGCGAGATAGAAGAAGGCACATTTTCAGTTGACTTTGGTGGCCTTGCCAATAAAGAATTGGAGGCCCATCATGGTGCGGGCTCCTCCCTTCGACGTGGACCCTCTACAACGAACCACGGCTCGGAAACGTTGAAAGTCATCGTATCAGCGCCTTATTCGGGCGAAGATGTCAGTGACGCAATCATCAGGCCCTATTCCATTGTCTCAAGCGACGGGGCTAGTAGTCCAACCTCACAGGCGAGCTCCAATAGTGAAACGGGTATGCCAACACCTTCAGAGATGGAAAGTCCCCCGGATAAAGAGCTGGGATGGACCAGCACTCCGGTTGCGGGAGTGGCCAGCAACGCGGCACCCGAGGATAGCTCTTTGCCTTCCGAGGGTTATGATGCTGAGATAAGCTTACTGATGGGGAGATATCAAAGTCTCCTTGGCGATCCGACAGATCCCATTGAAGAGGAGGCAAGGTAATAAGAGGGGGAGAGAAGGGAAAGGAAAGAAATGAAATGAAAAGGGGCCACCCCAGCATTAGTATAAATTATAAGATATACAGCTTATTGAGATGGTACAGGGGGGGGGACATGGCCAGGGTGAAAAGAGATGTGGAGGCAGGTAGACAGCAGCGTGCTCAAACCCGGCGTTTTTTTGGGATGTTACTTGGATTGCTAGCTGGCTTGCTCGCTTTGCATCGCCGGATGGATTGGTTGATTGACTGGTTGATTGATTGATACCCCTTGCATTTTGTCATTTTTAATCCCATGCAGACTTGGAGGAATGGGGCCGGGAAGAGAGCGCGGAATATTCTTGACCATGGTTAATGCATTACATAGATTGGCTCATAGTAATACTCCAAGAGACTGCTACGATGATATTGATAATTACATTGGAATCTCGTCGTTTTTTTCCTTTTTGTAGTAATCAAGATTATATTTTGCTGAAGCATCTATTTTTATACTTGCACACTTACAAGGAGCTTCGTGCCCGGCTTATACGGCCAATATGAAATTGGGTACGTACTGGCGTGAGGGGCAATTTCTTCGGCCTAGCCACGCAATTTCTCCAGCCCCAGCCTCAGCCCCAGCCCCGGCCTTCCAGCGGTCTCGTCTCTCTGCAGCTCGCTCGCTGTACCTCGACAATCACGTACCACTAGCAACGTTAGCATCACTGCGGGAGTTGGCGCGAGCTTCGTCATCACCACTCTTTGAGTCTTTTAGCCATTCCTCTTTTTTCCCGTCCTTGTTGAACGCCTGATTTCTTGCCTTGGAGCTCATTCCGTTCGTTCTCTCGCTCTGCTCTCTCCTTTGTCTGCGTCTCGTCGAGCTGCGGAGCTCTCGCGCTCCTCCTTTACTTCGTTTGAACCTCCTGAGGACAACAAGCCCCGACATCCGAGCGACCGGCTCGAGACGTCCTCCAGCAGCACCCTCACGATGTATTCCAACTCGAATGCCTTCCTGAACAGCGGCAACAGTCCTCGCCCGGGGACGCAGCCGCAGCAGCAGCAGTATGGCGGCTCCTTTGGCAATCTCGCGCCTGGCCAGCAGCCGGGCCAGCAGCAGCCAAGCCCCTTTGCGCCGCAACCCACGGGCTTCGGACAGCAGCCATTGCAGCAGCAATACACTGGCTATCCGTTGCAAACCCAGCCGACGGGCTACCAGCAGTCGCCGCAGCCGCTGCAGCAGCAGTATACCGGCTTCCCGGGGCAGGGCCAGCCGCAGCAGCAGTTCCAGACGGCGAGCGCCCCGCCGATGCCGTCGATGCCTCCTCAGTTCCAGCAGCAGTACCAGCAGCAGCAACAGCTACAACAGCCTCAACTACAGCAGCAGGTGCCTCAGCCGACTGGGTTTCCGGCTCCGCAGCAACAGCAGCAGCAGCAGCCGCCCCAGCAGCAGCCCCAGCCAACGAGCTCGACCATCTCTCCCCCTCCGATTAAGCCGCAGCCAACTGGATTTGCGGAAGTGGCTGCGTCTTTCCAGACTGGGGGCACGGCCAAGCCCCAGGGACGAAGAGCCGATAAGTCAAAGACCAAGATTCCCAACATTAGACTGTCTTTCATCACGGCCGCCGACCAAGCAAAGTTCGAGACACTGTTCAAGTCTGCTGTGGGAGATGGCTCGGCGACAATGTCTGGAGACAAGGCTAGAGACCTTTTGCTGCGGTCTAAGCTGGATGGCGACGCGCTGTCGCATATTTGGTAAGAGATACATGAAATCTACCATCAATGCTAGCAAACGACTAACAAGGGGCCATTTTAGGACGCTGGCTGATACCACGCGAGCGGGACAACTCTACTTTCCTGAATTCGCCCTCGCCATGTATCTTTGCAATCTGAAGCTTACAGGCAAGACATTGCCACCTACTCTGCCTGAGCACGTCAAAAACGAGGTTTCCAGCATGGTTGATATCATTAGCTTTGCTGTTCCGGACGAAGGCCCCGTGACGAGCCACGCAAACGTGCCCACCATCGAGCAGCCGACGCCGCAGCCGCCTCCACCGTCAAACTCCCAGATTCTGCAAGCGCAGATGACAGGCTTTCCTGGAGCGCAGCAGCAGCAAGGCTTCGGAGGCCAATCGCAAGGCCTTCAGCCACAGCCGACGGGTTTCGCCAACTTACAGAACCCTCAACCGACAGGATACGGCGGCCCTCTTCCTCCGTTGCCTCCTATGCCCACTGGATTCGGTGGACCTGGGGGCATGGCAGCACCATTGAATGCTCAACCCACGGGACGGCCCGGCCAGTGGGGTCTAGTTAATGCTCCTGCGACTGGACTGCCCAACATTGACGCACTGCATGCTCGTATGATGCCTCAGGCCGGCCGCGAAGCCGGCTCTTACACCACCGCTGGTCTTCAAGGCAATGCTGTTATTCCATGGGCTATTACTAAAGAGGAGAAGACTAGATATGATGCTTTGTTCAAGGCATGGGACGGACTCAACAAGGGCTATATCGGCGGTGACCAAGCCATTGAGATCTTTGGCCAGAGTGGTCTTGAGAAGCCTGATTTGGAGAGAGTCTGGACACTGGCTGACCACGGCAACAAAGGCCGACTGAACCTGGATGAATTCGCCGTTGCCATGCATTTGATCTACAGAAAGCTGAATGGATACCCCATGCCCAACGTTTTGCCCGCGGAACTTGTACCTCCTTCTACTCGCAACTTTAGCCAGTCCATTGGTACTCTGAAGTCCCTGCTGCACGAAGAATCAGACCATCGTAAGAACTCTGGTGCTGCGCTGCTACCGCAAAAGACTGGTGTCAGTTATATGAAGAACCGCTCATTCAGAGGCAGCCCTGCCCCTGCTGCAGGCGGACGTAAGGATGCCACAGTGTTTAGGAACGACGACGAGGACTTTGGCTACAGGTCTAGTGCTCGCCGGAGGCTTGGGGGGGCTAATTCACCCAGACCTGAATCTCCAGGCACGTCTTCTGTTGGATCCAACGATGATCTGACTCTCGATGAGTTGAGGAAGAAGGTCAAGGAGAAGCAAATCTTGCTCGACGCTATGGATTTTGCCGATGAGAAGAACCATGAAGAGGACGACATTTTGGACCGACGCGATCGGCGTGAGGCGGAGGAACTCTACCGCCGCATTCGACGCATTCAGGACGATATTGACTCGCATCCAGATGCCGCACTGGCTGTTGGTAACTCCGACGCTGAGACAAGGGCTCTGAAGCGCCAGCTCCAGAAGCTCACAGACAGAGTCCCTGAGCTTGCTTCGCAGGTGCGAAAGGCGGAGAAAGCTATCATGGACGCCAGACTCGAGCTCTTCCGTCTCAAGGATGCTAAGGCTCACCCTGGCAGTGCGTTGTCCATCGTGGGAACTGGTCCTGGTGGCTCAGTGACTGAGTCAGACCGACTCAAGGCTCGTGCAAAGGCCATGATGCAACAGAGAACTGCTGCCTTGACAGGTAAGAAGATTGAGACTGCTTCCGAAGACCTGGACGCCCCCAAGAGGCTTGAGGAAGAAAGCATCAAGGTCAGAAATGAGAAGGAGAGCAATGAGCGCATGGTCCATGATGTCGAGGACAGCGTCCGTGACTTTTCGCGCAGCATTGAGGACAGCCTCAACGATACTGGAAAGGACAATAGCAGCGAGCATGAGAGACGTCGCTGGGAGGATGCCCTCGGTGTCGAAGACGAGGTTCGAGACTTCATCTTTGATCTCCAGCGCGAGAGCCGCGCTGCTCGCGTCCGAGCTCAGGATAAGCGCAATGCACGACCTTCAGCAGCGGACGAGGCTCCTCGAGAACGAGAACGAGAACGAGCTGCTCTGTCCCCTCAGCCAGCGGAGAGCCCTGCTCCCACCTCGCGCACCGCCACTCCTTCTTCCACAGCTGGTGGTGGCTCATACTCTTCGTACAAGACGCCAGAAGAGCGTGCTGCCTTTATCAAGCAGCAAGCTGAACAGCGCATGGCTGAGCGCCTTGCGGCACTGGGCATCAAGGCACCGACTAAGCCTGGAGAAAGCGCTGCTCAGCGCATAGAACGTGAAAGATCTGAACGAGCTGCCAAGTTGCGCCAAGCCGAGGAAGATGACGCTCGCAGAGAGGCCGAGCGACAGGCTCGACTGAACGAGGAACAGGGTATCCCCCCTCCCGCCGTGGAAGAGCCACAGTCAGCTGCTAAGAAGCCACCACCACCTCCTACCAGGAAAGGAGGAAAGGGTGATGGTGGCGAGGCAGCTGCGGCGAAGAAGGCGGAGGAAGATGCTGCCAAGGCCGCTGAGGAGCAACGCCTCGCCCGTGAGCACGAGCAGCAACAGCGGGAAAACGAACAGCTGCAGTAAGTTTCTAATTCTCTAACCTTTTTTTCTTTGTATGTACGTTTTGGCGATAGGGAATGCTAATAGTTGCTCTTGTAGGCAACAAGTCCATGAGGAAGAGGACGAGTTCGCAGCAGAGCAGCGTGCGGCTGATGAACGACTTAAGGCTCTGGAGGAACAGGTTCGACAGGGTAAGCTACGAAAGGAAGAAGAGAAGAAGAAGAAGAAGGCGGCTTTGGCGGAAGCCAAGGAAAAAGAGGCCAAGCTAGCTGCTCGCCGCGCAGAGATGGAGGCTGCCAAGCAGCGTGAACTTGAATTACAGCGCCAACTCGAAGCTATCGATGACGACAGCTCGTCTTCCGATGAAGAGGAGAGCCGCGAGCAAGCCACACCGCCGGCGTCGACACCTACGCTTGGAGGTAGCCAGGTCAGCAACCCAGAGCCTGAGAGAGTAAGCTCGCCGCCGGTTGCTGCTGCACCAGTCGCAGCCCCAGCTTCGGCAGCCTCTCCTCCACCCGTTCCCACGGTGGTAACCTCTCCTCCAGCCGAGCCTGAGAGCAAGAACCCCTATTTCAAGATGATGTCGCAGTCATCAGAAGCTTCTTCTCCAGCCGTGCCAAAGGAGGCCACTACGCCAGCAGCCGATGTTTCCACCAATCCTTTCCACCGCATGACACAAGATATCAAGGCAGCCCCTGTGCCAACTGCTGCACCCACTCAGCCTTGGTCTCGCAAGCGAGCTGATTCTGATGACTGGGGCTCAGACAGCAGGTCGTCTGACGACGAAGATTCTGACGATGACCGGCCTGGCGCCGGCAATGCTGCCCAACTGGCGTCTATCCTGTTTGGCACCATGGCACCACCCAGGCCGCTGTCTGCTGCTGGCAGAGACTCGTCTCCATCCACGCCTGCTCCGGCCAACGATGCGGTAGCCTCTGCTCCGCCTCTGCCGAACGGAACTCCTGTTGGTGCTCCTCCTCCTCCGCCACCCCCGATGCCCGATGCTGGATCACCGCCGCCTCCACCGCCAATGGCTCCCATCGGAGGTCCTCCTCCTCCTCCGGCTTTGCCTGGTGGCATCCCTCCCCCGCCTCCCCCTCCTCCTCCTGGTGATGCTCCATCACTGCCGGCAGCTGGCGGTCGCCCTGCTGGCTTTTTGGGAGAGATTCAGGCTGGAAGAGCCCTCAAGAAGACGACGACCAAGGACAAGAGCGCATCTACCGTTGCTGGTCGGGTTTTGGAATGAGATTGATAGCTGGGGATTGAGGGGAGGGAAGAGTTAAAATCCAGTTATTTCTGTTTATATGGAAATTTGATGTTAGATTTCACAGCAGAAGAAAAGGGTGTGGGAGAGACGAGGGGAGAGAGAGAAGGTTGGGACAGCGTGTACGTTTAGCACGAAAATGAACACTTTGCTCTGTGATATGTATTTGATTCGCATGGGATTTTTTAGTCAATTGTATTCCTTTTACTGTTGTTTAATAAAAGCTGATAACATATCATGATTAATATCATCACCGTCGTTTGGTTATGCTACTCTCTGTTTGCCTCTTTCTCTCTCTATCTTTCCCTTTCTTTCCCCCTTTCCCTCTTACTATCTCCTTCTTTCTCTTTCCTGTCTAATACTTTTGTCTTCCTTTTGTCCTCTCTCTTCTCTTCTCTTTTCCATTTACATTTGTTGTCATTTTCTTTCAGAAGTGCGAGACTCCGCGCGAGATAGAACAATGAACCCCCTATCTTTGGCATTCACTATAAGACTTACAACGCCTATATCTTTTCTCTGGTTGGCACAAACTTTCCATATTTGGGCCATTGGTTTGTCATTTCTCCTCCGATACCTCAGTTGATTGCAGGGTGGGCATTTTGACAAACCTAAAGGATCGTGGTGAGATGTTTCAGAGTTTCATGACCCCATTGCACAAGCCACGGCAGTTGCATATACGGTGGATGATGGCTGCACTACAGTGTGCCCCCAATATCACTTACATTCAGTGATAGCTGTGTGATGGGACCGGGCAGCGTAACACCTGATACAGCACGGAGTCATAAAAAGATTGCAAGGTTGGGCAGCAGTGACATGTTCTGAAGTGAACTTTGGGGTCTGAGCTCCATGCGCACGGTTGAAAGTCTTGATCGTCTAAGACAAACTCAGCCCTTTTTTTTGTGGTGATGGAGTGGGACCATGCACTATCTCCTTTCCTTATTCTCCTTATAAGTAGTAAGTAATCAGTGTATGATAATACGGAGAGAGCGAAAGGAGATATGCAAGATTAGCCAATTTTGTTACTTTTGCTGAGGCGAGCAGTATTCCAGAATAGGTGCTATCATGATATGCTGGGGGTTGATGAACTCATCGTGGGGCCGCTGCAAGGGGAAGAACCGATGACAGCTACTGCGACATATAGTACAAATAGGTACAAAGGAAGTCGCAGGAACAGAGAGAAGGGATGAACGTGCGCACAGGGATTGTGATGATGAGAATTGGTTAAACGTGCGTGCACAGGAGATAATAAGGCTTGTTTGCTCAGTACATGGGCCAATTGCCCGAAATAAACAGAGAAAAAAAATATCCCTGTTGTTGGTATGTATGTATTACTACCTACCCTTCTATTCCTTCCATTTCCTTCTTTCTACAGAAATAGAAACAAGGGTCCTGGGGTAAGAAAACGCGTTGGGGACTTTGATAAACTACTAGGTATGTATGTTGCATGTACTCCGTATGAAGACGCAGGGATTGGTGAAAAAGCACGAGGATTGAAATTAAAGATATTCGGAGAACCGAGGAGGAGGATGCGCGGGTTCGGAGAACTAACCTTATTCTTACATAACTTTCAAAGCCTCATGCAGGAAGAAAGGGAATGAGAAGCAGGCTGACAGTAATATACTAGACTAGCACTTTGATCTTTTGGGTATTTGTGAAACTACACAAGCAAGCCCAATCCTACGTGTATGTAGTCTAATACCTTTTACTGGAAGTGGAAAATGCTGCTAGATACCGCTGCTAGATACTGCTGGTGGTGGTGTCGAGGCTTGCTGAGAATGCAGTAATAGCACTTTATAACTTGATGGTTGGTTGGTCGATAGGTACACGTGTAAGTTGCATACAAGTGCTACCCATCTTCTTACAGCGAGTGGCAAGCAAGGATGACAATGAATGCCCTGCATGGGTTCGTGCTCTGACAAGGGGCACTGCCGGCAGACACTCTGGTTTCTCCCCTTTCCCCTGTCTGTCTCTCCTTCTGACCAGAATCACGAGCACATTGGAATGAGAGAGCCTAGAAAATCGCCGCTTCAATGGCGTCAGGAGACAGATAGGGAGAGACAGAGAGAGGCTCGGCCTGAGACGGTCTTCAGGGACAAACAACTGATCTGATGTTTCAAATCCGAGCAACGAGACTAGTAGAAACACCATTCCTCTCTCCTGTGCTTCTTTTCGAGGGACGGGATCGGGATCGTCGGAAGGGTGCCAGCTGTGGCACAGCGTCTCTGCTCAGACAATCATGGGAGTCTAAAAAGGGACCAGAGAGTGCATACGAAGTCAGAGAGAGCTGGTCCGTGGAATGGAGGGGCCGCTAAAAGACTAAAAGACCAGGGCCGGGATTCGCGCTCAGACCAGCAGCTGACGCGTAGAGTGGTTGAGTGGTTGATTAGAGACTTGAAATTCTCTTCCACTTCCACTTCTCTCTTCGTTTCCAGCGTCAGTCTTTATCGATTGCGTAAAGAGTCTAAGAGTTTGCTCCGTCCAACGCCAAGCGTCAATGCGACAGGCTGCTACGGAGGATTAGTCGACGGCTAGACGCAAATAGCAGAGCCAGTAGTAGGCAATAGCTGGCGATAGCCCATCATGCTTCGCCTAGCGTGTTTGAAGTAGATTGCTGCCAGCTCAGCACGACACTAGGAGCCGCATTGTGGTACGATCTTGGTGGTTGCGCAAAGGCGAAACTCGGGAACAGACGAGAGATCGAGAAGCTGGAGGCATCGGGACGGGTCTCTGGGCTTGAAGGAACGCTTGAGCGGCTAGTGTCAATATCAGTAAACTAGGGGAAATTAGCTGTGACGCCTGGCCTGCGTCATGCAAAACCAGATCGCCGTCGACCACTGCCCCAAGCGGGTGGCCTCCTTCAGCGCTTCCTCTTCAGCTTCAGCCTTCTAGCTGCCGCTTCGGTCCTAATCCTCTCCAGTGCTATCGCGATAGAGAAGCTCTGGATGCGAGCTCTCGGAGGCTAAAGAGCAGCGGGCGCCACTAGTGGTCAATTGGAGCGCTGTGATTGGGCAGACGCGCGACAAGAGTAAACATGGGGGCAAGACGCGTCTTGAGTTCGGTATGACGCGTTTTTTTAGCGACCATCCCACTTCACTTGGACTTATAAGCCCGAGTAAGACTCACCACAGCTAAGAACAAGTGAGTGAGAGAAGGCAGCGTGAGAGCAGCGAGTTGAGGGCAGCGGCCCAAGATGTCATACATTCTCGTTGGGCTGCAGTGGAACCGCCATGTCTTGACGATTCCCTGCCGCGGCCAATCAGCGTCGCGCCTGTGCCGGCTCACCCTCGTCTGCATCCCTCTCCAGGGCCGTTTTGTGCTCAGACAATGCCCTTCACATGCCTTTGCTGGCCGGGGTGGTCCCAAGTAGGCGAATCAGGGACAGGGTTGCGACCGAATTCGCGGAGAGCCTATCGCTGCGTATCACCGGGCCCCATTTGCGGCCTCCGTGCTGGGCCGCCCGGGCTGCCTGAGCGGGTGCTGTGGATGGACTCGAGAGCCAATTGCCCTTGAGAGCGGCAATCAGCTGAGAGGGCTACGCGTTGTTGTACTCCATAATTCCAGTCGCGTAGGCTGTCAGATGGTGGTCATCTGAGTTTCTGTATATCCGTATAACACGGACAAGAAGCAGCAGAAAAAGCATTGACGTGACATGGGTTGACGCTGTTTATAGAAACAGCCAGGTTGAAGACGAGATAAAAAATGGAGAGAGTGTGAGCCATGCGTGGGGGAGACCTTTCGTGAAGATAGTCATGGAGGGGGAGCAAGGGATATAGGGGGGGGAGAGGGTGATAGAACTAAGAGTTATGGAGGGGTCAATATTGGAGGGGGAGAAGAGAGGGAACAAGAGGGAACAAGAGTCAAAAGGGCAGCAGAAACATGAAGAGAAACTGCGCCAGGGCAGGATAGAGTTTGCGTTTGAAACGCTGCAGAATCGACAACGGCCGGCGGTACCTGCTTCTCGGCAAACTCTCTTTAAGCTCGCCGCTGTGGCTTGGGCAATTTTGAGACATCTGACGGATTCCATTGACAATAGCACTAGAGGCATGATGAAGAAAACTCTGTCTCGAGCGTTGTACGTAAATGGATCATCTGGGCTGATGTTTTAGCCATGGCTATAGGTGATGACGGATGGTTGACAGTTAGCAAGAGGCTAAGTATTTAGCAGAAGAAAGAAGAGGAACGACGGATGAACTATGATTAGCATCTTCGGGATGTCCGCTCCTCGTTCTTCCGGGCCTGGCGTTGAGAGAGCATAGACGTTCCTCCATGAACTAATTACTACCTAGGTAGTATTATAGTAGCACAGAGGTAGTTCGTCTTGTGTGACTCGATCGCCATGCGGTAGTGGTCGGTATTGGTTATTGAATTTATTGGAGCAGTCAATTAGTACTATTCTGGTAAGTGTTTGGATAGTCTAATACGCCACTCTAATACGCCACTCTGATACTCATTTCCATTGACACTTGGAGTAGCACCAACTCTCGCTATATTTGTTCCAGCTCCGAACTGGCGATCGGTGTGTGGTGGGATTATCGTAAACTCCATATGCCATTTTCTGATGGACTCGGTATTTATGTCTACTCCATACTGCTGCCTCACTCAACACGTCCATGCGGATGCATCCTCGGCCGCGGGTGGGAAATCAATGCAGTAGTGCTCCGTAAAACTGGACCAGACAGCTCGACGCTCGCCAATTGCTGCGCTCATCGCCCGCGCATGCTTGCATGCATCATGCAGGCCAATGCCCAGTAGAAGAGCTCCGTCTCTTGTTTATCGATGCAGGTGGGATTCGTGATGCGATGATGGGCCTGAGCAGGTCGCATGGCAACCGTAATGGTGTTGTCGTGATGGCGATGGCGACGGCCATGACGAATAATAAGAAGTTCTGGAGGCGTGGATGCATTCAAAAGGGACTTGTCTCTCTTGCATCCCATCCCATCCCATCCCATCTCTCAAGTCCCCTTTCCAAGCGTCTCAATACA